TGCTCTTGTAAGTTAAATGTGTGCTATGTAGTATTGTGGTTAAAATTAATGTTATTAAATGACTGTCGAATTTTCAGTGAAAAAAAATACACATAATTTTAAACTATTTGGTCTTGTTTTTCATGGGGTAACACTTAGCTGGGAAGGAGGGAAATGGCAGCAATGGAGGACACTTTGGGGTGTGAAGGTCATCCTCTAAGAAGTCCTTTAGACTCAACTGAGGATGAGGAAGAACCTAGAAGGACCGGACCAGGTTGTTCCAGTCCTGTGTCTCCAGTCCCTATCATCACCTGCCCTTATTTATAGACTCTAGACTCCCATTTCTTTCCTCACCACACATATCTTTGCCCAGTCTCTCTCTTGATCTCTTGCAACAGTCATCAGATTCCTCTCCATAACCCCAGGTTTTCTCCATTGAATCAATTCTCCAATCCAGAGTTATATCCCAGGAATGAAACCAAATCTAAGAGGAAACTAGATGGTCTATAACCTAGAGGTCCACTTAAGGACACTGGAGATGAGTCTTCAACGGGATGGGTCTTGAGAGATTGGAATGTGATGGGAAATGAAAGGGTTCTTCAGAGCAGGTACAGGAGGGAGATGAGGCAAATGGACCAGAGGAAGGAATCCCATTCTGGCTGGGCTCTGGGAAGACCAAGAAGTTGGGGTTTTAGAAGTACAGGCTGGAACCAGATTGTAGGGGCTCTTGAATCAGCAGGTAATAGAGATGCACAGAAAGTTCTGAAATAGGAGAAAAGGAAAGTGTCACATTCAGAGGTGAGCATCAGGAAGAATAACCTAGCATCAGTACCGGACGGAGTGTGAGAAGGCAGTCCTGAGAGCAGGCTGCTGCCCGGGTGCAGCAGAAATGACGGCGACATAAATGGTGCAGGGTGGTAGTGGGGATGAAGTTCAGAAAAATGGGCCAGACGGTGATGTCTTACATATAGTAGAAGAAAGAGAGTAACTGACCGGGACACAGACTCTTCTCTTATAATCTTGCAAAGCAACTATTTAGAGGACTGGCTCCCCTGAGACACAGAACGAATTTAGCTCATTCATTATACCCTCAACCCCCTCCCAAGAAGTTTAAGTTACAGACGTTTTGCAAACATCTAATTTTATCAGAAACTGCTAAACAGTTTTCCAAACTTCCTACTGGCAATGTGTAAGAGCTTTATTTTCTCACCAACACTGCTCCCTAAATGGGCTGAAGCTCACACCCTGGTGGTGACTTAGGCAGATGCCAGGCCATCTTCTCCGAGGGCATGGCAAGAACAATGGCTACCTCCAGAAGTCCCTCCTTTGCACCCTCCTCCTGTCACCAGAGCAGCTCCCCTACCTGCAGCAGGTGGACCTAGCAGATTTCAGAGTCCAGTGAGCCATCCCTTGGAGAAAACCCTCCGGCGATTCACCTAACCCCGCCAGCACACCTTCATCCGCAGCTTCAGAACCAAACTGGCGAAGGACATGGGTGCCAACCCAAAGGAGACATGGGTCCAGAGTTATGTGAAACACCTGGACCAAAAACCTCTCACCCTGAAGACGTGAACTCTTCTGGCCGCACTAAGTCAAGCCAGAGGATGGGCAATGGCTCTTTTTCCCCAGGCTTCCTGTCTTGACCCTGGACTCATTGGAATGTAGTTTCCAAAGAGAGTGCTTTATGTTTTTCTATGCAAAATGAACTAGTTCTTCAGTAATGTTTAGTATAATTGAACTGTGGCTGGTTGGGGGTTTATTTTGAATATTGGCCATCTCTTTTTTTAAAGCAAGGCCTGGAGCCAGTTGGTTCTTGTCAGGAGTCCCAGTTTCTTCGGTTGGCTTTGCAGTCAGCGGGTACTCCCGCGTGGTGGTGAGCTTGACTGTAAGAGCCACGGGGATGAAGGGCTACTGCAATCTAGGGAGGACAGTGCCTCGTGAATGTGAGCTGTAGCTAAATATGTTACTACAGAAAGATTAATGCAATCGTAGAATTGCCTACTTTTTGCAGAAAATACATTTTTGTTTAAAATCTCTTAACAGTGGTGTCTTCTTCATGGATAACTTCCAACCGGCAGGGGGCGCTCCGAGGCACCAGTGCACAGCAGAGGGGATGTAGCAGATGTAGCGGATGTAGCCAGGCTCTGGCTTTGCAGCGATCCTGCGCTCCTCTGAGTGCAAGGGAGGACCTGGCTCACCAGTCCAGGATATTCTAGAGCAATGGCTCCAGTCCCCAGCATCAGCTTCTAACGGGCCTCCCTGCCCCCGTGCCTCCTGGCTCTGAGGAGTCCTCCACCCTGGAGTATCACAGCTATTAAGTGCCCCAGACCCCTGGGGGGAAAATCGAGTGACCCAGACCTAGTTAGCATTGGACCTGATAGCGAAGATGGGACTGGACAGAATAGACCTTGGAGGATGGTGTAGCAGGGTCATAGCAAAGACTCTTCTAGAGGAGATGCAGGGAGTATCCCCTGAAGAGTCAGAATTACGGTTCCAGAATGGAAAAATCAGAGACATTTGGAAAGGAAGGTTGAGGCGTGGTTACGGAAGAACTGGACTGTCACAGTGGGAGTTTAGAGTCAGTTCTGAAGGCTTGGGAGCAACGGGGAGGGCAGGGGGCGCCAGGAAGGGTGGCCTGAGGCTGAGGGTAGGATGCTGCTGGCAAGGGACGCTGAAAGCATCCTACTGCGATGGTCCAGGCGAGGAGGAGCTGGGGGAAGAAGGGCAGCCATGGGGGCGGAGGGAGGAGGTGGCTTAAGCGCAACAAGCCAGATGCTTGACGTGCTGAATGCTGGATAAGGAGGGAGAAGCCCTGCGACACAGGACACAAGGCCTTCTCCCCTAAAGCCACCAATCCTGAGACCCAGAATTCACTTCCCTCCCTTGCTAGTCTCCCTAGAGTCCCACATCACTGAGGTTGGAGCTTGTGGTTGTCTCTTTTAAAGGGACGGGACCTTCTCTTCCTCTCTGTCCTCTGAGGGTTCTCCTCCTCTTCCTGAGTCAGCCTCCTTCCTCTGGGTGACCTGGGTAGGCATCTCTGTCACACCTGGACCCTCCCCAGGAGGCGGCTCTGCCAGTCAACTCTGCAGGCTCTGCCTGGTAGAGGCAGGGTCTCTGTGCCACACTGTACTGGGCAGTCACGTGGCACCTGGGGAACC